GCTGAGGGTGTCCGCTGGGAGCTCGGCTTGGGGTTGGTGTGTTAATGCCACCCGATCTGCGGGGGCAGGGAGTGGAAATAAAGTTTAGATGGTGACAGCAGCATGGCTGTGTCACAGTCCAGCCGACGTTCCCTGAAGGCCCTGCCACTGGGCAGCAGTCACCCTTTTTCCTAGCTGCTCTGACCTGAACCAGAGGTGCTTCTAGCCACCTGCCTCTCATTGCACCCAACTGTTCTTGGGGACCTCTCACATTTCCTGCCGTCTGCCCGATGTACCCTCCTTTCACTTCCCTCCTGGCCTGCTGCTCGGCCTGCGAGCCCTCGTGCCTGTGCCCTCTCCTCGGGAACGCACGTTCTCTTTCAACCTCACCACCTACTTGGGCCAGGGCTGCCACTGGCCCTGTTCCCTCTCTCAGCAACACTCGCATCACCGACCTTTCCTGAGCCCGTTTGTCTGCATTTAATTCACCTCCCTTAACCCAGACTGGCTGCGGTCTAAGGGCAGACTTATCCCACACACAGGCGATGTTCCCAAGTACACCTTTACCCTATGGGTAACTTTAATATATTTTAAAGATGAAGCTTAGAAATAGTCTATTATTTGTCACAGAAACTGTAGAAGAGGATACACAGAGCAACCCTAATCAAGAATGCACTGGAGGGAAAGGGGAGGAGAGGAACAGGAAGGGAACAAAAGTCAGGATGGGGTAGGCAGGATCCTTTTTACAGATATAAAATGAGAAATGAAGAAGATGGGCAAAAAGAAAATACTTAAACTCAGGAAGTCAAATCCTTTGTCACAGATGGAAACTCAGTATTTAAAACTCTGCAATAAAAGAGTGAATTATTTCACTTTATCTATATCAAACTCTGCCTTTGGGGCATATTTTCATCTCACTCTACAACAATGCACAAAGGCATCCCTGAGCGTAGAGGGGGGAATGCACTGTGGAGTATGGCAATGTGAATGCTTGTGCACATGCAGCGTGAGAACACTTCCGGCAACGTCCCTGCCCCTTGCCCTGTCAGGCTTTCACCAGGCAGTGAGCTGTCTGCTGCTAAGGTTTAGGCCTCGGCAGTTGTGACGTGGAGCGGGGACTTTTCAGTTACATTACAGCCGGAGTGACTTCTACAAGGCAGGCAGGACAAAATGCTACAGTATTTAACCAAAGAGCAATTAAATATGCATTTCTGTTCATATGAAAGATTCTTCATAAGCAAGAACACCTACTCGTGCTCTCCCTGTGCCTGCTTTTGAAGTGCTACATCGTGCAAAGCAGAGACATGCTTCCTTTTACCAAAATTTCTCTTTCACTACTGTACACTGTGGAGACACAGGCAAGGGACTTTGCAGCTTCGTCCCACAACTGTGGTACAGATGTTTATCACCGAGCACTTGATGGATGAATTCAAATGGGAGAAGCAGGAACTCAGAAGAATGGAATCTTACGGATAAATATTTCATAACATTACAGACTGCAACATATATCTTCAGATCCCATTTGCCAGTATTGCTTACAGGTGATAGGTATGGCAATTAGTGCAGTACTCCTGGCAACCTGAGAAATATAGATTGGAATTGATGGCCTATGTACTATTTTCCAGCTGTAGTGCAGCTCGCTGCTATTATTTGCTTGTAACAAACATCTGTTCCAAGATGAGAGCACCTAAATATGCCTCAGTGTCTCCAAAATTACAAGAGGTTAGTCTGTTAAACATTTAATCTATGCAAACAAATACAGGCTTCATGCAAGACAGATCTGAGTATGAACTGATAACTCTATCATAGCATTGCTAACTATTCCTCGCGCTGCTGTGCAAGAAAACTTCAAACCCAAGAAACTCTCCGATATATTTTCCTAGGTAAAACATGTCATATGAAGGTTGGTTTACTCAGAGGCTCCTACTTTTAGGAATAAAACTGATTTCAAAAGAAAGGAAGCATTTAAACAGTGTCATGGCAATATGGCTTATTCAGTTAATAACTAGCTGGTTTATTTCTAATTGCTCGTGTACCTCTCCAAACTCAGCCTAGGTCAGCCGTGAAGGAAAACAGCGACCAGCTGCTGGCAGCTGCACAGCCTGCGCAGGATGGACAGGTATAACCATTCTCACAGCCGATGGATGGGGTCTCAGATCAGAGAAAACAGTACCACAGATGGCACAACTATGTGCCCACGGCTGGCCTCCCTGTCACTCACAGCAGAGAGGCCAAGGGCATGTTTCTGGACTACTCTCTTACCCCTAAAGGTGGTCTCTCCAGGTCAGGGTTGAGGCACATTGGTGTGGCAATGTGGGGAAGTTTGCACTGCTGCTGCCCATGCTGTATCTGCTCTATAAATAAATAGAGGACTTTAGTCTCCAGGGCTGTCAGTTTGGCACCTTCCATGTGCACAAAAGACACGTTTTGTTTTGTTTTGTTTTATTTGTTTAGAAACAACCACCCAAAAAGTTATATGCAAAGCTTAGTACGGCGAATCAAAATAAATCAAATTTATTGTACGAGAGCACCTAAAATCCCAAAACTTCCACTTGCTCTCTCTTTTGTGTTTTCTACTTTTAATTGTGATAAGAATAAAAGTTATGGACCTCTTTCGGTGTTTCTTGATGACAACGGTTGCTGTTCCACCACAACTCCAATGCTGCCACCAAGCATGCAAGTAGAAGGCCTATTGCTAAAATGCAGAAAACGCCTGCAAAACTGTGAAGCTTGAGTGCCTTCCCATCTGTCTGTGCATTGGTATGGCTATTCAGGTCACAACGTCCCATCCGTGGCCACCATTTCTGTTTAAGAACATCCAAATCGCCACTTTCTTGCAACTCTAAGATCCTGCAGAAATTTCAAAAGACAAGTGTTACTTTTGATGATATTTTTTCACAGTTTATTGGTCTTTTCCGTGTGTCACAGCTCTCAAATCTACCATCCCGCACCTCAGAATTCCATCCCACCACCACTGTGTAGTACTCTCTTCATCTGAAACCCCATTACACCAGGATTTCTTTCTACTCACAGCAGCAGGTAAACTCCACTGGGTAACTTGTGAAAAAGAAGAGGCTGTCAAAAATTCTACTGCAATGGAAGGAGCATTTCCAAGGGAAATCACCATATTCCAAGTTAGGCACGGCTGGTGTGGCTACAACAGCTGGTCCCACTAGCAAAATGCTCAATCCACTCCACTGCTGCTCTTCCACAGTAATTTCAAAATCTTGTGAGACTAGACATGCTGCAGTTTGTGCGCCACTTAATACAAACCTGGTCTAGCAGCGACCAACTCATTTACCTCAGCAAATGTAGTTTATTCAACAGGATTCTGCTTCAACGCTGTTAGTTCATGCCTGAATTACTGTGTTAACAGTTGCTAATTAATCATTGTTTTGCCTCTTGTGAAGTGTCCCTTCTCTCCACCAAGGACTCATTGTGGATTTGGGTTGAAAACTGGTTGAGCTGTTTACTAACAATCTTTCCTCTTGAGGCAGCTCTGTCTCTGGTTACGCAGCTGGAGTTTTACTCCTTTTTATAAAGAAGGAACGAGACAAGGAAACCTTGCTTCAGCTCCCTGCCTGCAGCGGAGCACCCGTTCACCTTCTGCTAAGGCCACACATGCCTGTACAACACAGTCTTCATTTCACTGTGTACATTCACAGGAAAAAGATATTCTTAGCGGACAGCTCAGAGATGACTTAACGACATAGCCCTATAGTACCAGTCTTGGCAATCCCACGCCATACTCAGCAATTCTTGTTTCCCTGTACTGTTGTGAGTCTGACCTGTCTCTCCACCCTAAAGGATAAACCAGGGCATTATTACTTGCTTGATGTAGGAAGCGACGCATTGCTTCACAGGCTACAAAACGTAGCATGAATCAAAGATCTCTCTTCAGTCTCTCCCCTAGCTTACACAAAGCTCTGAGGACATCAGTCCTTTTTCTGCCAGAGGCAGTGCTGCTTGGAGGTGTGAGGGTACGCACCACCTTCAGTGCCCTCCTCCCTAAGCAGATGCACATGGAGCAGAAGTCGCAGCTTGGTTGAAGCCTGAACTCATAACCTCTGTGTTGTCACTCGGTCACTGTGCTTTATTCAATAATTGCCAAAATTAATGCGAACCACACAAATGGTTGCTGGTACAGAGGAATCCTATAAAATGAGCTTTGTTTCGGTTTACCTCTGGGAGAAAAGATCTCTGTAGGGGCTTCCATGCTGGAGTGCGATCCCGTATCCTTTGCTGCTGATGCTGTTTCCAATGACTGTCACAGAGCATTCATCATCTGTCAGCGCAGCATATTCCACTACTGTCACGTCCCACAGGAAAGCATAGTTTCCTTTCTTTGCCTGTAAACACAGCAGGAACGCAACACAGTGTGAACTAAACTGCATTTCTAGGTAGGAGAAAACCCAAGCAAACACACAAACCTTGAGCTTGTCACTGCTCCATAGTGGTGTTTCATTAGCTCACAGTTTATCTGTAGACCCCCCACATCTCAGTACATTTCTAACACTCCTCCCTCCCAGCAGTACCTCATCTACTTCAAACCTCACTAAAATGTCTTCCACTTTTAATAGGAATATGTAGAGGAACATGGCCAACTGTAAGTGCAAGGCTTACATAAGAGGCTTTTAATTATAAATGGAAGCTATTGCCTTAGCTGATGAAATTCAATGTATGTTACGTAGGAGACATGGAGTCTGACCGGTTCCATACGTTCCCATAACTAGACTGGTACGGTATGAGCACTAAATGGTGTTTCCTAGTCAGCAGAGTCACCAGAATGGTAACTTTGCAGCTTTCCTCATATAAACACGTAAATAAACAAAGCCCCAGCCGAGACCTATGTTAGTCCTGTAATAAAAGGCATGCTCTGAGCTTAAAGAGCTCCTTCTTTTTTCCCCACAGGTAAGAAAAGTCACCAGCATCTCCTATTATCTCAAGTTTGGGATAAATACTGTTTTATTTTACCCCACATCCATGCAGATATCCTTAAATGTCAGCCTTAATTGGGATTCAAAGCAATGTCAGCACGCAGTGCATACAGTGAATGTAAATCACCTTACTTAACATACGATGTAAGAAACATCTCTGGATAGGGATTCAGTAAAGAAAAAAGTCATCATTTTGTTTGCTTAAAGTAATCATTGGTTTCCTAATATGTTTTAAGTAGTACGTTTTTAAGTCTCTAGTGAACATACAGAGCACAGTGGAACAGATGGGCTGGCACATCTAATGCAAATAAATGAGTAGTCACAAATGGAGACTTCCAAGACTTTTTAATTATTTTTTTTTTTTTTAACTTTGGGTGATTTCAGATCTTTCTTTAAGTCAGAACAAAGCAAGGCAAGCAGCTGAAGTCCTGCATGTATTTCTTTACAGGAACTAAATCACCAAGCTCCCCTAGCAAATGACTGCAGCTCTGACATAGAATTAGCACATCCTTCTGCATATTTTCCATTTTTGTGAAAGCTCAGTTTTGAATTTACCTGTAAGCCTGTAAGACTCCCTTAGTTATTTTATTATATTGGATTCCTCAGTTGAGCAATTAAGCTAATTTTACTTCACCATGCTTTGATATAAACCATAGCTTTCTGAAGTCCCTGGCAATTTTTTAAGCATGACAATAAATCAAATAGGTAATTTATACTCTAGTGGGCAGAATCAAGGCAAAAAAAGATTAAAACTATGTTGTCTGGGTTTTCTGTAAGCTACTTGCCACAATCCACCTTTTTCTCCCCGTCCCTTTTATCTGCATCAAGGCAATCAAAGATCCCCAAACTCATTTTCTTCTGAGTTAAACCAGAGTAAAAATGTTATATCTTTCCTCCTTGGTAAGATTTACATGAGCCTCTACTGACCACTTTGACAATAGTTTTTTTTGTTAAGAGCATGCTACCATCGTGGGTTCCTTTGCCACCTCCCTGGTCAATTCAGAGTCACAGTAATTCAAGCACACAGCCTCAGACAACTATTGCTATACTAGTTCAAAACATCATTAAAATCTAAACTACACTATGGGCCTTACAGGAGCTATTCAGATAGGAGCCACAGGACTTGGCTGTTAAAATCATACACTGATTTAGCTGTCACGACTTACTAAACTAGCCTGTTCATAAAAATCTCTCACTTCAGTGTCACTGTATGAAACCAGACCAGAGGAAGACTTCCACATCTACACTGTAACACTCTACCTGGCTGTCTACCTAAACTGGTAATCGTGGTGCAGAGGAAGAAAGAACAAACAAATCACTCTTTATGAGACAGCCAGGAAAGGCTTCATAGCCTATCAACACAAGGATGCGTGAAAAATCAGGGATGGCAAGGGAGTGGTTCCTCAAGGCATCTAGCCTATATTCAGCCAGCAACCTACATTCTCAGAAGCCTAGAATGTGCTTTTCAAAGGTATTTTCTGAATGATCATGTACCATAACTAACTGGGTTGTTAGCAGCAAATCTCTGCAACTTGCCCTCTGCTCTTCTTGTGATGCTTTAATGCTTCCCATTTTATGCTTTCACATCTGCCTTGGTGCTGATAGGCCTCCTACCTGGTTAGGGTCAACAGGCATCAGTCCTACCGGTGTTCTGGCAGGGAAGGATCCTATTTTTGCACATCTCAGGCAGGTTGTGTTCTATGGTAAATAGTGCATAGGATTTTGCTACCCAAGATAGAAAACTGTCCAAGTTCATTAAAAATACATACTCATGGGACCAAAGACGACAGCATTTGTTACTGTACACACTTTGTTCTAAAGAGCTATGTCTTTCAGATGTTTCAGAATTGCTCTGTAAATCATCTTTTCAAATTTACAGCTTAGAAAAGAATAACATTGACATGTCATACGTTCCTCATTTTCTTAGTAATACCTGAGGAACAGTCTTCAAATATTCTATTTCAATTATAAGGCAATGTCTAGAGGAAAATCACATTATCGATTCTACTTTTCAAGCTTCAGTTTTCTGAATGTTATTTTATATAGAAGAGCTTTGTACACTGACTTTCAGTGTTGGACAGCAAAACTTTTGAAAAGGTCTACTCTTGCATTTACAGGGCTGCTATCCTAAGTTATGTCCTACAACTTACGTGGTCAATAAACAAAGCCTACCAGGTCTCTTAATAACTACTTTATGGTTCTTTGTGACATAAAACATTCTATCCAGTGCCACCACATCTGTAGAGCATTAATTCTCTGACAGCCTGATCATTTCAGCATAAACAGGAATCTGAGTTTTAAACTCTTAGTTATGTACACTCTTAACTTTTTTCAACTGGATGCAAGACTTTCCCCTCTCAGACTGCCAAAATCAGAATCTCCAAAGATTCCTTTCTCTTAAGGGAAAATTTGTCTCTTCCAAAACTTCTCCCATTTGCATAATTTTCTTCTCTGAAGAGTGAACACCTCATACTATTAGTCTGTTCATTGCACAGGAAGCTTCCTCATGACCACATGTTTAGTTGTTGTCTAAATTCAGCATCCTTTACACCCCTGTTAATATCTGTTGTGGCAACTAAGCCGTATCATTTGTTCAGCTTAAAGAAAAACTGACGAACTTTGAAACACACATGTACGAGACAACCACACCCATACATGTGTGTTCGAGGTATGTCTGCTTTTTATATACCTTCACTAGGAAAGCAGTAAAAGCCAAATAAATTCAATCTGACACTTATTTTCAACCAAAAATCAAACCAAAACTTTTAAAAAGTAGCTTAAACTTTTAATTTTTGTCAGGTGAAAGAACATATGCATGCACATGTGCATACACCTTAGCTTCCAGACCAGAGGGGTGTTGGAGGTAGAAAGACTTAAGAATTACAGGAAACACCTGGCATTGACCCATGGGATGTATGAGCAGGAAACATATCAAGGATCCCTAATTGCACATGACACAGAGGTACCTACCCATGTAACCAAGTCCTGATCACAATACAGCAAACATCAATATCCTCAGGCTCTTACATTCACAGCTCAGCCATCTAAAGCCTTCATTTTATATTTTTAGGGCCCAAAATAGAATAAAAAGCTCTAGTGATTAAACATTGTTGCAAAGATAATACAGAGAGGGAAATGGTAAAAGGGAATGTGGCAGACACCAGCTGAGAATAGGTTAGATACTTGTATAAAGAATGGCTGCAATGAAACACAGAATAAAAAGCTAAAATATATACTTTAGGCTTTTAATTAGCTTTCATATTTTGCTGCTTTGCTGTGGCCTTATTGCAACTCTCAGCATGCGGGCATATTGCAGAACTAAACAAAAATAGCTCTGTTAAACTTTCAAAACCATCTTTAACAGAAATTCAGACAAAGCAGCACTCACTTCTTCCACCCAGGAGGAACTACTATAGTGGTTTACACCAAAGACACCAGATTTATATTTGGTTGAAGTGGTTTAAGAAAACAGATTTAAGAAAAAAAGAACACCCCTAGGCAACACATGTATTAAAAATATTTCTTCTTCACGATCATAAAAAATTAAAAGGCCAAGGAAGATTGCCTCCTAGGTAGTAGAAGGACCACGAGGAGAATAGTAATACTTCAGAAAAGCATTAAGTAATCTCATGATGTCACTTTTCCAGAGTGAGGGGGATGGGAGAATATTGTTCAAAGGATCCTGGCTTACTGATGGTAAAATGATGGTTTTTCAAAGAAGGCATCATATGAGATAGTAACAGCTTTAAAAAAAGATGAATTTCAGTCTAATCCCTGCTACATCTGTGATTTATCTGAAACTTATGAAGAAGTTACCATACTAAAGACAAAAGTGCCAGAATAATGCAACATTCATCATTAATTTACTGTCAGAACAGAGTGCCACTGTAGCTGATCCTGTTATATGGCTGGTACCACAGAAATATCAAAAATTGACCTTTACCACTGGCATTAGTGGAGTAGTTCAAACACATGCTTGGATAACATTCATTATCTATAAAAGAGTGCTTTAAGAGAAGCAACACAGTTCTAATAAAAGGAAAATATGCCATTCAATCCTGTTCAAATGATTTAAAAATTAATATAATTAAGGAGACACTAAGGAATGTAATATATTCAGGCTTAAAGGAAGCATTTGCTTTTACTCTAAAGGCTGATGGGTCAAAAAACAGAGAAATTTATGAGGACCTATGAAAACATATGGATAAGCAACCACCATTCACAATATAAAATTCATTTTGGACAATAAATTATTGGAAAAATAGTTTAAAAAAATCCTAATCATTGAACTTTTAAATTACTTTTACTCTCAAAATAAAAATGAGCAGAGGTAACTGTTAAACAAGGAACGCTCTGACTTAATCTTTAGTGTTCATTAAGGGAGAGAAACATCCTGAAGGAAGCACAAAAGGGGAGGAATAAACTCTTAATGTGCCATTGCCTAAATCAGTGGTACATTCATAATTTGAACTGTACTTGGTTTTGATCTCTTTTCATTAAAAGTGATACATCAGAAAAGAAAGGAATCAGAGAAATTTTGGCACCAAATTGGTTGGACAGGGAAACAAATGGTCTCCGCATTGCTTTAAAAAAACCAAAATCAACAACAATAACAGTTTTATAATATACATAGGAGAATTAAAGATATAGATGGGATTACCTAGGGATCATATTACTTCATACTTTCAAAGCAACAGTGGCTGCACAATGAGCAAAGCCACAGACGATTACATATGTTGTGATAACCAATAATTACGCTGAAGAACTGATTGCCACTGGGTATCATGCAAACAATTTACTGAGATTTACAGGGGGCTTAGAAATGTGTGGGATTCCAGTACCAATGTCCATTGGGGCAGGAGCTACCTGCTGCATGCTTTTTGGGGATCCTGGCCGTAGCTTGACCCAGAAAGAAACTTTCCATACAACAGCATTCGTCAAACCTTGTCTATTATAGCACCAGAAAAGTGAAGCGCCAAACCAGCATTTTGTATCGACTGGTGAACTGCATGGTAACCTCCTTTTACACTATGCAGAGACATTTATGAACAAGAGGATGTTTTCCATCTGCAGTGACCACTTTCAATTGCCTTGGGAGTACAACAAAAGCAACTTGCCCCGTCCCAGCTCTGAAACGTCCTTGTGTCGCTTACGTGACTTTGGAGTGCATTAATGCCCTTTCCATGACTCTACCGGCATTGCAAAACCTGTGCTTTGACAATGGGAGATGGTGACTGTGGCTGCAGAGATGGTGCTGTGCCTGAGAAGAGACCTCTGCCATGGCAACCGAACGCCACAAAAGCTTTCAGGACTGTCTTCCACTATTATCCTTTTGTTTTTAGCCAGTCAAAGGAAGTAGGAAAATCTCTGGGAAATGGAGAGAGGTAAATGGAATAGAAACACACGTCTGAAATACCTGCCTGTACCATAAATAAGCAGCACTCTCCTGTTTTGCATTGAAGCGGCACTGCTGTTTGTAACTGCAGATGAACTGAGATGCTGTCTGAAGAAAATGGAAAGGGCAAGGTAGTAGTGTGGTTTTTTTTTTTTTTCATTGTGTCAGGCAAGTCCTCATTCAGACAGAAGTGTTAGGGAAATTTTTTGCTAGAGATATTTAGCTTTCCCATTTCCTAAAAAATACATTTTTAAGGCACATTTACGTCTCTTCCATACAGCAGTGCATGTTTACCAATGGAAAGTCCCATTTCTTTGCTGACATCAATTGTCCCCTAGAAAAACAGAATTTCTAGCCATAATACTTGACAGGGAAAGCTTGTCTGTTTATTCAAAGAGCTCAATGAGCTAAGAGCAGCAACATTTAAACTATAAACACAGCAGTTTGGTTGACAATGTAATTAAATATTAAGCTCGATTTATGCAGGTGTCTAATCAAATAGCAGCCTTGGTCAGCTTTGGGGACTGAAGTCAATTTGGTTATCGCTGACATTAATTGAATGAGCTGATAAAGTTATATAAAAATCACCCTACGATATTGAAATCAAACTTAATATGAAAAGTTATCATCACATAGCTAGGATGGAGCTGGCAGCTCCATACAGACAACATAATCGTTATTCTAAACAGTCTGCCACTCTACAGTTACATTTCTGGCTTAGGCAAATCTAGCTATCGTAAACGGCAGCACGCAGTAGGCTTACAGAATAAGAGTATTTACAATCTTAAGGCTAAAGAGCATCCACTGACATAAGAATGATAAAAGAAGGGGGAAAAAAAAAGGAAAATACTGCGCATTTTTCTAAGGTAAACTGTTTTATTATTGGCTTTAATGCCAGCATACATAGAAAAGTACTTAATGTTTCTATTTCTACCTCCTTTAAACGCTAACAAAGTCTCTCAAAATAGAGAACTCATTTTCATAAATTGCTGAGCAGATTTAAAAAAAAAAAAAAAAAAAATCAGCAGACTGCAGACTGATGTTGCCAGGGCTCTACTTTGTACCAAGGATGAAAGGCTACTTGAGTCGAGGGCAGAGGGCTTTAAGAAAGATCAGCTGGGAGAGAGGAAAAACGGCAGGGTGAACCACAACTACTGACTAACCACTACTGTGCTGGGAGAGACAAGAGTGTTTGTATAAGGGTTTTGTCCAAAAGTCTCACAAACAATTGGGAATCTTACATAAAGGACTTTGATTTGGGAAATGGGATGGCCTGTGTTACTGTGTTCAGCCCAGCTGCAGCACTATAAACCCAAGCACATTTTGGATGCCTTCCCACTGTCTGTTCAGAAAAAGGTTTCAAAGTTTCAAAGAAAAAAGAGAAACCCAGGCCCCAAACATTTTAGTACGTCTGACTTACAAAAGCATAAGAACTAGGAATATATTAATTCAGAATCAGTGTTTCACTGACAACAGAATAGCTTTGATCAAACAGTCACTACATTAATAATGGCTGTTAGCTTGCTTTGAGAAAAATATCAATTGACAAATGAAGGAGATGCTTTTCACTAAAGGAGCTAAACTTTCACTGACTACTTGCGTCCCTCTTGCCCAAACACACTCCTAGACACATGCAGTTTGTTGTTTTACACGTTATTAAGCATATGCTATTATGTTTGTTATTAAGCACATGTTATTTACTATCTGGTTTTGCTGAGCTACAAGATGGGAAGCAGAGAAGAAGAGACAGACTAAGAGTGAGAAAGTGTGGACGTTTGTATTTGCGTGATTTGAACCAGGCTGCTTATCACAGGATTTGGCACAAGGGTGTAGGATCCCAAGCTGTTATATATCAGTCCTTGAATCCCACATCAATGCTTAGTTTCACTAAAAGAATGTGTAGTCATATCTGGGAGAAAAAAAAAAGTTAGGTGAAAGCATGGTGACGTGAAGGAGTATATGTATTTTCTTTAGGTCTGGAATAAACCTAAGAAAATCTTGCATTAAATTTTTGTTCCAAGAGAAACAAGTACACATTCAGTGAATCTCTTGAATTTTACTCATATTTCCATTAAGTTTGATCCATTAGGTCACAAAAAACCTTCTGCTCAAATGAACAAAGGACAACAGTCAGTACCTGGATAATAAAATAATGACATTCAAAATGGTATTATCTGACCTCCCAAAAAACACAGAAACCTTATAGCCAGATGCAAAGAAGGACTTCCATCCTGAAGATTTAGGCAGAGCTAAGTTACTTAAATTCAAAACCATGACGTCAAAATATGATTCTTATCTGCCACTGAGTTACTAATAGGAACTTTAGATAGGGATATTTTTGTTTAAAATGACTGTGTAATTGCTTTCACGTGACTTAACATTAACTCCATGCAAACAACATTGATACAGCACAGAAATGAAATTAAAACCCCTGTGATCCAGTCTTACCTTCCTGATGCCTTCAGAAGGGTTTGATACACAATTATCTGCGCCATTATTCTTACTGATTGTCCTCCACAGTTCAGCAAATGTGTTATCCTGCTCCAAAGGATTTGTCCCTTTTGCTTTAAAGTATTCATACACTGCTGAATCCCTGACTGTACCATAAGATATATCCATTTGTTTGGACAGATCCTGAAAGGTTCTGAAATTCAAGCAATATTGAGATATTAGCATTGCATAGTACATTACCGAGATGTCATTCATTAAATGGTTTCTTTCCACGTCTGTCGTTAGTCAGAAAGCACTTACCCTCACTGAGTAACATTTGCATATCTCTTTCCACATCAGAAAAGGAAAAGAGAGTAATTTAATTATATTGAGATCATATGAATTTAACTATACCCAAGCTCTTTTTTATCCCAATAAAGATTTTTCTGAGAAATTACACTCATGTTAAATATTACAATTCCAGGTTTGCACAATTGCACAAGTTTGTGCAATAAAGACTTACTTGCACACAGGAAAAATTCACGTTATAAATACAAACTTCCAGGCCCATCAGCACCACCAGAAGTACCTTGCAGAATTCAGTGGAATTAGTTTGCAGTTACACCAATACTCCATCTGACTCCAAATCAATACGACTGGTTTAAACAAACAAATAAAAGTCTCCCTTCCAATTTCCACTAAGTCTCTGTCCTTTTTTCACAGCCTCTAGTAAAACAGATATTTTTCATTCACACACAGGCCTAACTTTCATTTACTCGTCATACCACTCTGGAAGTGTAAATGGGCCTCAATGTGAGCGGCTGTGAAAACACCATTTATTTTCAAATTGTAAAGAATGTAATTCACTCCTGTTTTACAGGCTTTTCTGCACAGAAAGGTGTAAATCACTGCCTGCATCAATGAAAAACAGGCAAAGTTTCAAAACATTTAAGGTGGCATCACTGCCATCAGAGGAAGCATCCTAGTTGTTTTCCACCTTCAGATGTTCATTCCTATTCCTGTGCCCCCTTCCTTTGTGCTCAAGTATCGCTTCTGTGTGGTGCCACCATTTTTTTCATCTGAGCATACACACGCACAAGCACTCACTCAACCATTGAGCACCACATGCGGCAGCAGTGACCAAACCCGATCTCATAAATAATGGTTTATGGTTGATACATGTTTAACCTCATAATATCAACATCAGATGTACGTCAAATCAAGTAACACTGGTTGAGACTAGTCAAACTAAAGCAGCTCTCCCTGCCTCCCCCTGAATTCCTATTTCCCCAAAAAAACCTTTCAGTAAAAAAAAGTCCTCCTCCAGACATCTGAAAGTGCCACCTCCCATCTGCCTCCAACTCCTGGAGCCACAAAAGCAAAACATATTGCCTTGCAGCTCTTGCAGAAGATTTCTTCAGAATGCTCCCAAGGAGCCTTCCCTTGGCCCTGAAGCTGTTTTCCACAGCTGAAGACTTGTCATAGACAATATTTTTCTGCCACCCCCTTCCCTGTTTCACTGGGGGGATGCCACTGCTTACACATCCCAACCTGTAAGACTCCCTGCAACACTATTTAAAGCAAAGCAGTCTGGGTGTATACACAATGCTAGATAAAAGCATTCCCTCTTCTCCATCACCTCACCTCCACGCCTCCCAGGTTTGGCTCAAAGGGCCCCTCTGCCATCCCCAGAGCTGCAGCTCTGCACGGATGCCTCTCCTACCCCTGCCAAAACTCCTCAAACTCACAAGCTGCTTCTAACAGTTTAAGTGGTTTACGTTCTTAAATTGTGCTAAGGACTTTTTATCATTTTAAGCTGTTAAGCAGCTTTAAGTAAGATTGTGTGAAGAGTTTTTCTCTATATACATTGCACACTTGTGGATTTGGGCTAACTCTGGCAGTTACATCAAACCCCAAACCTCCTGTTATTTCTCCAGCTCTATATACGGCACTTTGGTAAAGTACAAAATGGAACACCCCAGAGGTTGCTGGAAATTCAAAGTTCCAATAAAAAAATGAGAGAATTCATGTCAGTTTTCTTTCTCTCCATGTTTAACATTCCTGAATGTTATATTCTGGTCTCCTAAATGTTTCCTGCATGTTTCATTGAACAGGGCCATTTTTCCTCCAGTCTTGATCTAAATGATTACATGCTACGTTTAGTTCCTGCCTTTTTTTTTTTTTTTTAAGTCAGTTTCATCATATCCTATGGAACTCCTTACATCCTGGGGATGGATGATCTGGCTCTAAAGACACATTTCTATCTATTCCATGTACAAATGAGTAAGAAAGGTACTCAATACACACAGGAGGGTTTCTGTGGCAACCTTTTTCACACCAGGTCTAGCACACGGATTTCCGCTTGTGTAGGAGTGCAGGTTTGGTAGAAGCAGAGTAGCAGAAACATGTAGCTAGTGTTCTTTAACGCAGGTTTCAGCTGATAACAACTTTACTGCTTATGCTGCCATTCTGTTCAAAAGTTTGAACACGAGAGTTTGGATCTTGGGAAAAAAAAAAAATTAAACCTGCCGGTTTAATAATGTCAGTATTTTCTGGATCACTTCAATTGCCTCTACAGCTGTGGAAGCTTTTTGTCAGAAACATGCCTTTTGTTTTAGCTAAATTATACTTTATTGACAATCAGTACTTTTGTTTTAGCTACATTACATTTTATTGGCAATCAGTACTGTACAAAAGCACAGTACATCTTGCTTTCTGAGCAGCACAGTTTCTTCAGTTCTCTAAACATTACAGTGCACAGTAAGCAAATTCAGGGTTTAAATCAAGCACTTTGCTGGCCCGATAAGCACATAATCAGTACTGGAGGCAGGGAGGGAAGCACAGCATTTGCCTGGTTGAGGGAGTAAGGCAACTACTGCCCCTTTAGCTGGCAGAATTTCCTTAGAAGAGATAATATGGAGTATAGCGTGTCCTAAGGATTGTGTGTGCCTTTCTCACACTGCCCCGTTTGATGCCAGAGGAAATTCTCCATGCTGCACCACCATGCAGATAGCCTGTGAGAGAGACAGATGGTCACCAAGGGACACAGTGAGGGTCACAGGAGGTAACCAAGCTTGTGAGTGGTTCCTGTAGCATAAATTCAGAAAGATGGTGACCGTTTGAGTGAGAAAATAACCTTATGCCTTTACCAAATGGACCACTTAGCCAAGAATCTATTCTCAGAAACTATCCTGGACAGGAACAGTCTAGACCACAGTTCTTAGTCTGTATAAAAAAATGTCTCTGTACTGTATTTCTGCACTGAAAGTGGAGGTGACGCTCAGCACCTCCATGGTCGGAGAGGTGATCGCAAGATCTGGGCATCCAGGTGTGGTCCCATACATAAAAGACACTAAATGGAGACTAGTATCTCCTGGCTTTTACAGAGTCAATTAAGATAATCACGAGTGCAGGATTTAACCCCTTGTTACTTTCACTCACTCAGATCTGCCATTGCTAGACAAGATCATTCCCTGACACATTTCAGATACCGGTTGTATCTTACATTTGTGTCATTCTTTAAAGGCAGCAGCTCTCATCGTCCTTAGACTTTGTTTCTGCAACCAGCCATTAGCTGGACCCACCTTTTTTGGCCTCTAAAATTCTTGGCTCCCCTTCCTATGGCAAAGATTTCATGCATCTAATATATAAAATTATTTGCAACAGAAATGTGTAGCATAGCAAGATGCCCCATTAACCTTACCACCTCAATTACTGGATCTCACAACCCACTAAGGACTCTCTGTAAGTGCGATTAAAGACAAAGCTAGTAAAGCAGAAAAAGCCAATGTTCACCACTTACAGTTATAGGAGCCAAACTTCAATTTGTAGATAAATACATCGAATGTGTGATTGCTATAATAGGCAAGTACATGTAAACCAATTGATTTAAGTAAATGTATCTGTGGTCAATGTAAACAAAAATGGTGTCTTTTAAAACTGTATTACCAGCTAAAATATTTAATGAATGCAGTTATGCCTGCTAGGTAAATGCAGCAATTGATAATTTCCAGTTGAGTCAACTGAAAACTGGACTTCCTGCTTGTTTTATTTTTTAGAAACATATTGACATAAACCATATGTTGCCGAATAAACGCTCAGGCAATAGCTGCACTAGCATTTATAATCAGACCTCTAGAAATAATTGCCAAAACAACAATACTGGTTATGTTACACTATTTAGAGATTTTCCACTAAAGATTCATGTAGCTGTTGAGATCTCAACTAAAAATGTGCTGCCAGTATAGGTTTCTTTTACTGTGGAACTGCAAAAAACCCAAAACTTTCTGGATGAATAATACGAACAAATCTTCTTTAAGTGACATTCCAAACCTGTCACCAGGAGCTGTGAAGTAACTACTGATCAGCTAACTCAACTGGAGTCATCAGGATCATGAGATGCAATCAAAGTATTATTATTAAAAAAAAAAAAAACAACCAACCAAACAAAAAAAAACCCCACAAAAACCCCACAACCAAACAAAAAGCAGGTTGCTGTCATTTCTAAATAAAAAAAAAAGTATTTTCTTTCTTTTTGTAACAACTTTATTTTTTTAATTTAAAGAAGGTAATTAAACAAAGGCGCAAGGAAAAATAGCAAAGAATACTTGCTTATTGAGATTTTTCTCCTCCTTACCATTCATTCTTTGTAGCAAGCTGCACATCTGGACTCCTGCGTGTAAAATCTGTGGCTGTAAACAAACCAATCAGCTGGCACCGTGGTACCATGCAGTACTGCTCTTTTACACCACAGCAACAACCATGGCATTTTGTCTTGACTTCAGCCTCAGAGGAACCATAATGGGACAATCCTGACAGCTCCTTGATTTAGAGGTAGTTTCTCGTTAGCACTCACAACTGCCCATGTTCTGATACTGTAAAACTGGGGAGTTTGCCTGTCACCTATTACTTAAAAGGAAAATAGTATTTCAGGAGTTTCTGAATCCACAGTATTATTTAAAAATTGTGCAAGATCTTTCATGGTTAGTTCCTGTTTTTTCATCTGCACATATACCATTATGAATAGTAAAGCTTAAGGTTAGACACAGAAGTAGTGATCAGCTCTCTACCCTTGTTCTTCCACATTGTGCGTACACTTCAGAGTAACCTCTCTCTTCACCAAACTATGTAGGTTTTGTCAAACAATACAATATAAATAAAACCTCTCAACTAAAAAGAATTAATTTTCTTAATTAACAGTAATCCTTAAGTCAT